ACTGAATCCACTCGTATATCTAAACAATTACCCTCCGCGTACGTAAATTGGGCAATTTGCCATCGAATTTATGACCCACATATCATTCTCTTTCCCAAATCCCACCTCAAACAACTCCTATTCCCTCGGCGCCAAAGAGCCACTTGAAACAATAAAAATCATGACTCCCCCAATGCAGAGTCCACACAGTCTGCAGAGTAGAAAAGAATGATCCATAAATTTGGCGGCTAATCGCACACACTCCCGGCAAACAGTGCTCGGAAATGGTTTGTAATCATACGAAAATTGCCTACAAATGAACTGCTTAACGGCGTGTCGCACATTCAGACAATCAGAATCAGAGCCCCCGCCCTAGCCCCTGCTCCGCGCGAAAACCCATTTAACCCGGCCCCGAAAATTGTGCCAAATTTGCGTTTGCGGGTAGAAATCCTCGACTGAAATTGCGCGGGGGCATATTTAATTTATAAAACAGCCAGAACGACACCCACCAAATTGGCCAGGAGACCACGGCGGCGCTGGCGAGTGAGTTGGTGGCTGGGTGGCTGGGTGGCTGTTGTTCCGCCAGAACAATGCGTGAAAAAAATCGGTAACTTATTAAAAATGCCCATTGTACATGAAACATACATGAGCCTAAGTACATCCAAGAATATGTATATGGCTACATTAGCGTGCTCAAAGAGTGGGTGTGCGTGTGGCAGCATAAAAATCAGTAGCTCCTTGTGGCAGCTATGGGAGTGGGTGCGAAATTAATTAGAAACACCCTTCAGCCGCTGTACTGCTGGTGCTACTGGGGAATTTACGAAATGGAAGTTACCAATCAAAGACCATGTTTAATTGAACTTGGCCTTAGAATCGAATTGGGGAGGAAGTTGCAACAGATCCCAAGGTGATTCCATATGGGGTGGAGAATTTATGGATTTCATATCTTGCAATACACAAAGTTTTAATTAATTAAATATTGGAGTAATGGAATTGGAGAACTTATTTGAAGTAAGCCAGGAATGGAATGACGTGTAGAAAATTCTAAGAATTCTGATTAAAATCATGAAGTAAGAATGGGAATTTGAATATATTTTCTATTCCTTTCTACATCTCCTCCGTTGTGATTTTATTAACTCCAAATAAGAAATCAAAGTTGCTGTCTTTGCTGCTTTGATTTTATAAAAAAGAAACAGAGGGGGGAAAAGCTTCGTGTTGCTCGCAGTCCCAGCGAAAGGTCAAACGCGTCTTAGAACCCAGAACCCACCATCGAAGCCATAGAGAATCCTAGCCCCAAGTCTTTTCAATAATTGATGTGTTAATTTATCGCTTAGTAAATTGTGTGGCCAATTGACTCACAAAAAGACACGCATAGACCCGTACCAAGACATTTTGGAGCTAGACTGGTGCTGACCCTATCCCTTTTCCCCTAATCGAACTCAAGTGTGGACAGACGGAGCGAATTTCGAAACACAATCACGACGTTCTTGGTCTAGCAACTTGGAGTTTGATTTTATCGAGAACAGAGCTCCCTCCATGTGTTGAGGGAAATCACTTAAATGGGAGCCAAACCACCCACCCACAGACCGACACACAGAAACTCGGTCGAAAGGATATGGCGGGACATGCACACACATCTGGCGAACATTTGCCGAAGTATGTCCCTGGCATGTGTGCATTTGAGAGAGATTCGCATAAAGGTAAAACTGTCACCAATAATAGCCAAGCCCTGACCGCACATAAAATCCTCGCTGCGACATCCTGAGAGCACAAAAGGGGGAGGACTGAGACAGAGCCATAATCAGTATTGGCATTTTAAGTGACACTTGCGCTACCTTCCTTCCACCAGCCACCAACTCAATTCGCGTCATGCGCCGCCATTTGTATATGAGCCAAATAAAAATGCATATGAAATGAAGCTGGCAACGCTGCAGCAGCAGCAGTCAGTCCGGCAAAAAGCTGTAGGAACAGGGAGGAGATATTATTCGGAGGCACTTGGGCCAAACTTTGCTGCTGAATATTCCATGAAGTTGCCAATAAAGTCAAGTGGCAAGTCCTGGCAACGTTGCCAGGAGGCAGGGCCACACATACAATACTGAAACAGTGCACCAGCTACAGTGCATACACTTAAAGAAATTTAAATAATTTGAAGAATAATTTGAGTCAATTTTTTTAGAATTCCGTTTGCTATTAAACATTGATTTGTGGACCATCTTTTTGGCTTCTGTTTATTAACATAATTCATGTCATGCAGTACCTTTCTGTCAGTGTACTTTAGTGGCTCTACACTTAAGCTGAGTTTTGTTTGCCTGTGTGTGTGTGTCTGCTGCCATCCAGCTGCAGTGCGCTGCTGCATACTAATTTCTATCCACCCTGCCACCAGTGCCACCCTCTCTGCTATCTCCAGCCTCAACCTCTTTCCCCACTCTTTGCATTGTGGTGGTCTTGGCATCATTCCGTATTCATACCAAGCACCAATTTCTCGATGCTGCTTGCTGTTGTTGTTCTTGTTGTCTGCTATTAACTGAAATAAAGGTAAAAATGCAATAAAAATGTTGCCCGCCTCTCGTTTTGCATTAAAATTGCATTACAATTGCCCATTGGATGGAGGCAAATGTTGTTGCTTTTATTATGGCAATTGTACGGGCGTTGTTGTTGTTGTTGCTGTTGCTGTTCAAATGAAATCCAATTAGCCAACTACAAGGCCTACTACCAAGAGCAGCAACAGCAGCAGCAACAGCAGCAGCAACAACGACAGCGAAGAGCGTACGACGCGTCGTGACTTCTCTTCTTCAGAGTCCTTTCCAGCGACGTGCGTGTGTATTTGTGTGCGTTTGTGTCTCTCTGTCTGTGTGTTTGTGCCTCTTTGTGCGGTAAATTGAATATGCAGTAATTGCTTGTTGCCTTTCTTCATTTTTGGCCATGATTTTTTCGTGTCTGACACAGAAACATTGTCGGTTAAGTGCAAATATTAATATTTTTAACCGTTAGGCTTAGGATCTGTGTCCAGCTTTAAGTGGTTCTAATACTCGAATGTACACTAGAGAATTTGAGCTACAAATTTGGCCTGGCTTAACCAGTCTTTGCATGGAAGATTAAGTGTCATTATAAGATGATTTTAAATGCAAAAAGAATGGAATAAAATAAATATTTAGATGTAACTTCGAACCACTTTGTTTATGCTAAAAGAATGGGAACTCAATGTGCAGAGTTTACTGTGGTTATGAGAAATATTTCTTAAAATAAAAATGTACTTTTCCGATTGAGGGCAACATCGGAAAACCTCTGGCGAAGTGAAAACGTTTTATGACAGATTTTTTTGAGCCCATAGAGTGGTGTCCAGGGACTACAGCTTAGCGATTTTGATTTCTACTTTATCATCACTTCTTGCAGTGCAAAAAGAGCTGTAGAAAATGCGTAATCTACCAGCAAATAATTTCCAGCTCCTCTGGCCGCAGCATTTTCCTTCTTTGGTATGATGTGAGATTCGGGTGGAGACTTCTCCTGCTGTGCCACCTGCAAACTAATGAAGAAAGGCTGCCCCCTTGCCACATGCACATTCCAGGCAGCCTTCTGGACAACAGCTGACTGCTGATTTCGCATGGCATGGCTCGTGCCCGAGTTGGCCAAGGAAAACTGTCAATTAACCCACAAGGTTAACTCGGGGAAAATGCCAGAGAAAGATGCTGCCGCACTGCACTGCACACACAAGCCAATTTCCATTTGCATCGCTGGCAAATGGATTGGATTCGTGTGGTTTGGGGATCGGACTGAGGTTGTGTTGGAGTTGCGGCACTCTTATCGCAATCACCGGCTGCCAAATACCAGACGATAGCTGGGGAGAACACTTTTTGCGCTAATAAAGATCTCAGAGCAGGCATTAGAGGAAGTTGAGTGCCCCACCAGCCCCCTCTTGTAACCAAGAACTCGCCGTGTGCTTTGTGAACTCAAGCTGACAGAACGCTATTTCCAATTGTGCTATTAATCTGCCACATTTGCGCTTCTTCAGAGCCAGAGGCAAAGCCAAAGCCAGAACCAGGACAGGGCACCAGCCAGCTCCCTCGCACTCAAAGGCAAACGCTGAGCCGCGAAAGCGAGACGGCAGCCCCGGTTGTGAGCGCGAAAGAGCGGCACAGATGGAGAGCGGGGCAGTCGAGCGAACGCTTGGAAACGCTTGGCTAACCCGAAAATAGAAACAATCAAAATAAAAATACATTCTCTTCATGCTCTCGTCTAATAAAAAACCCCAAAAGCAAAACGTTTTCCATTTAAAATGTCGTCGCAAAACGCCAAAGCGCGGCGAGCTCCACGGCCCCGTAGACCGTTGGGGCAGCAGCAGCAGCCAATGGCAGCGCGGCAGCACCACGCCCCCAGAGCCAAGCCAAAACCTGTTCCGATGGAGCGAGCCGGAGCGGCGCATGTGCGAGACAGAAGATGGGCGGAGCGGACCAACCACAGCAACCACCGCCGCAGAATGGTGCAGAGAGCCGGGTACAGGTGCGCGGGGCAGCGAGGGTTGCTGCTGCTGCTGGGTATTATGGTAGGTTAGGTTCAAACAAGGTGGCAAACAGGCTCGTTAACCGAAAGAGGAAGGAAGTCGACCGACCGACGCCGCAGTCGCCGCCAACGTCGCTGCTGCCCCTCACAGCGGGGAAACTGGTTTGACTTGTTCCGGGAGGGGTGAATTTTGCTCTTACTCCTGCAACAGCAGCAGCGGAACCGCAGCAGCAGAACAACAGCAGCAGCAGCAGAGGCCGCAACGCGCAGAGGCAATCCTCGTCCGTCGGCACATTTTTTGATTGCATTTATGAAAAGCGTTTTCGCCCGCCAGCACGCGCCCGCTTTCCCAGTGTCTCCCAAAGTCCGCAGTTCGGCAGTTCGAGGGTTCACAGTTCGCAGTTCGCAGTTCGCAGTCAACGGCAGCGCTTCAACTTTATCGAGTCGAGTCGCGATCGTATACGCCGTACAAACCGAAATTAATAAAACATTTTTTCGTGCAAAAAATTCAATAACTAAAAGTGTTTTTAAGTGTGACAAAAAACAAATAAATAAACAAATTTTGTTGACTTTTGAGGAGTAGGTGAAGTGATAGCAAATTGGCGCCACTTGTTGTCACCATGTCCAGCCACGAGGAGGATGATCATGAGCATGAGCACGAGCACGCGGATGATGTGGAGGAGCAAGAGATACACGTGGACGTGGACTCCGATTCGCGGATGTCATGCGGCAGCGGCTCCGATGTGGATATGGATAATGGCAGCTGTTACGATGAATCGGAAACGCCATTAAGGTAAGGATTGAAAGAGGAGAGAATATATTTTTGGGATAATTGATTCGTGGTCATGTGGTTGAAACTAAACGGTCTGCGAGTTCATTTGATGGAGTCAAAATAGGTGTTTAACTATGAGTATTTATTTGGCAGCTTTCCTTTGTTTCGAAATTTGGAATAAATGCCGGAACCGGTAAATTAAAAGACAATTACCATAAATGAGCATATATTATGAGGCTAAATATTTCTGTAATTAAAAACAGTCGAACTAGAAAAATAACAAAATCACACAGAATAAAATACTTAAATTATTGTCAGACTTTGTTCACGAACTTCTCATACAAAATGCAACAAAAAAGCGCACTAAAAATGTAAATAATTAACTGGCTCAACACATTTTCATTGGATTGGCCGTAAACAAGGTCAATAATCAGTGAAAAGCAATTTGTGTACATATTTTCATAGCTCCCACTGTTTTATAGTAACATTTAAAGTCATACATAATAACCCAAAAGCCGATTTTCGGTTCATATACCCTGGCTTAACGCAATTAAACTTTGTGGCATAGACAGGCACGAACAAAATGTTCATTGTCAGAGAATACAATCAACAAAAGAAGCCTAACAAGCTGCCAGAATATCGAACTGCCCGTGATAACTGCTCTCATGCATATTGCTTGGAGGCTGGGGGGATTTTGGGACTTTGGTTTGGAAGAACGGCGTGAACAAACCTTTTAAGAGCTAATGAATTGACCATACAATGCCATCAGAGGAATGGAACACCGAACTTACCCATAAAGTTGTGGGTAAAAACCAAAGAAACTTCCTGAATTAACATAGAGACAGACCTGTGCAGGTAATGGCCGTTGACTATGGGGTATTGGGGATTGCCGGAGACTATAAAACGCACATTAGTAAGGCGCCAAAAACGCGCTCTGATAAGAGCATCCAAATGGACCTAAACGTGTTCGAAATTGAACAAAAACGCTCTGTCGTTTGTTGGATTAACATTTTAATAGAGCGTGCCATAAAAATGCCATAAAACCCGCGTTCCAGGGAATCTAGAGCAGCATCAAAGACAACGAGTTTTGACCAAAGTTTTTGGTATCCATAATTTGGAAATTGTTTCCAGTTCATTGTTCCGATCACAGCCCTGAAACGAGCGGGAAGCCGAGAGCTGGAAGTCAACAAATGGCTTTTATTTCGTTGATTTATAAATTAAATGCTGCGCGTGACTTGTTTTTAGTGCGTCAGTTGATGGCATTCGATGATTTATAGAATCGTATAAAAAGGCCTAAAGGCCTGACTCCAACTCTAGCTCGAATGGCCGGCAGTATTTGCATAATTACTTAATTTTGTACAACATTGCGTATACGCGGTTGTGTCTGGTTCCACGATGATTTCTGCAACTGACTGACGCTTGGCCGTGTCTTATCCGCTCGCGTGGGCTTTGGAGTTGGAAGTTGGAACTGGAAATGTTATGGATACTGAGTCTGGGTTGCCGCATTAATTATTACCAATGTTCTCATGCTTTTTCCTCATATCTGGCGACACTTTTTAATGAGCCCGCACCTTTTCTCTGCCTCTGTCTATCCCACAGTGAGTCGCTGCAATCGGAGCAGACGCGTTCCTCGTCCAGCGAGAATCTTCCCTTCAGCATATCACGCCTGCTTTCCAAGCCCTTCGAGACGAACAACAATCACCATCACAGCCTCAGTCTCAGCCTCAGTCACAGCCACCAGCACAGCAGCAGCAGCCCCGGCTCCAGCAGCAACAACAACAACAACAACAACAACAACAATCATGGGGAAAAGGGTGAGGAGAAGGAGCTGCTTCAGGTGGAGGATCACGAACTGGCGGCCTACAAGCTGGCCACCAGCATCGCCAACTCAACGTACGGAAGTGCCTCGGCCCTCTACTCATATCCCCATCTGTATCCATCGGCAGCGGCAGCCGCCGCCGGACATGTGCTACGTGTGCCGCCCCAGAGGACGCCCCTGACGTGGGCCCTGCCGCCGCTGCATCATGCGGCGCTGGCACATCAGGCGGTCAAGGATCGACTGGCAGGTGAGGAGTCGAGCCACCATGCGGTGCTGGGTCATGTTTTGATTTCCATTTCACTCTAATGATGGGGACCGGTAGCAAATCGCTACTGTGTGTACCGCATACATATACAGCTACACGTACACGTGCACAGTAATAAGCGCGATCAGAGAAGTCTTTTAAGCCAACATGCCTATCGGCATGTCATTGCAGACCCATACCCAGGGCAAAGCACGATCCCCCAGTTCGAACCCAAACTCAATTCCTCATCCCACACATACACACACACAAACACACACACACACTCTGAGAGATGCACCTCTCTGGGATGCTAAAGTATAAAAACATGTTTGCCTTCAAATGCGCAATCGCAGCTTAAGTTAAAAACTTAACGCTGAGCCACCGCCCAGAAGCGACAGAGAAGCAGGACGAATGGTGCCTCTGGCCTCTGTTCACATTTGCATACGCATCTGGATCTGTAGCTGTATCTGTGGCTGTTGCATCTGCATCTGTATCCGTATCTGTGGGGCTTCCTTTTGGCATCCCTTTTTGTTAATTTGTTTACATTATGAGCTTCACTTGTAGCTACAAGCGGCAGGCACAGCGCGAGCCTTTTGAAATAATGAGACGGCGTTGATTTTATTACGCCTCAGTAGCTGTCCCAAACAGCTACCATTTTGGTACTTGTGGGACTTGTGTGTTGGCCGTGTCTGTGTGTGTGTGTTTGTCTGGCCATAACTCATAATATTTTGGGCTGCTTTTGGCCATGTGGAAAAGCTGCTTAGCTGAGAGAATGCCGCGTCCTGAGAATGCCTTTTATGGCCAACATCCGCTCAGTGTTTTGCTTTTATTTTGTGTTTTCTCTTTTCTTTTTTAGTTATTTTAATGAGCTGGTTTTACATGACTTTTTAATTTCGCGCTGAGCTCGAAAAGGAATTAATTACGCATTGGGCGGTCGCAGGGCTCTACGTCCGTCGTCGGCTTACTATATTTATCGCCGAATGCCGCACTTCACATTTGAGTCCAACTGACATGGTCAGCTTTTAATTAGCCCCCAGCCAGAACTGGCCAAAACGAATATGCATATGGCTATGGGTAGGTGAACAGAAAGAGGCATGGCCATGCCTTAGGGCTAGTCATGGGCTGAGGCACACTTATGAGGCACCGCCAAGGGTGATCCAAAGTCTCGTTTCAGTTCGTTTTGTCAACATCTTCGTTGTCTCGCAGCCACATCTCTTCCACTTCTCTGTCGCTCTCTGTGTGTGTGTCTTGTTGCGTTTATTGTGTCGCTGCCTGGTGGCCGATAAGCTGGCGCCTTGGCTTTTTTCATTAACAAGACAAACGAGCGACTCCAGTGGCTGACCGACCCTTTTGCCACTTTGCCTCCCCCCCTTCTCCTCTTCGGTCAGCACTCTTAGCGCCATATGATTAATAACCATTGCATGTTAATTTCTGTTATTTTTGTTTGTTTTTTGGGGTTTGACGTCGCAGCAGGCGCCAATTACTTTTCGGGCCTCAGCCCTTAGAGCGTTTTCATGACAATTTTCAGACCAAACTAAGCTCCACTCTGCGGGATACACTCAGTCACGATGTTTGGCAACACGAATGCAAACATGATTCAAATTGAGTTAATTTGCTGGATTTACATGGCAACGCAATTATTAAATGGTTTCTGTATTTAATTAGGCATTTTTATACGTGCCAGGTGAACATTGTAGAAGGTTTTTGCATTCTAAGAGAACCTGCTCTCTGCTCTTGAGGAAGTTTGGGCTTTCAGAGTCATATCTTTAGACATTTCTATGGCTGTTTTACCTTATTCATAATTAAATAATTATAATCAAATTGAGTTTTCTAAGGAAGGAGTTTTCTAAAAAAGTCTCTAAAACATTTTCCTTCCGCTTTAAATTTTGTTTTCTTCCGAATTTTCTTGTTACTTGACTTGGAAGCGTGACACAGGAAACCATAGCTATGACATTGCATTTTCTTGGTTTGTTCATGTTTCGTTTAATAAAATTCATACACTCTCATTCAGTACTCTGCTCCCCGATAGTTTCTCTACTTTGCTTCTTAGTTCATCGGGCACACATTTGCTTCTGAGAATGATAGCCACTTTCAGTGGTTATTCAAATCACTTGCTGGCAAAGGTTAAAGTGTAGCAGCTCCCAATGGGCGGAGTTGGAGCCGAGTCGAGCCCCTTCAGCCACAGGCCGCCATCAATAATGCATGCTAAAAGCTTTTTGCATTATTTTACGTATTTCTGGCAAGGCGGTGCTCCGGCACACACACACAGGGTCACAGGATATGTGTATCTTGAAGATACTGAGCCAAAATATCATAAATAAACGCAAGAGGCGGAGCGGCAGAAGGCTGCCAGGATATGGCTATAAAATTATGCTTATGCGGCTTTTCCGCCTTATCCCGCTGGTAACCTTTAAGGATGTGCTCTGTGTGGTGGGAGTAAATCATGGAGAAGCTGCTTATGTGGTGCGATAAATGGCTTTTTATTGAAATTGATATTGCTTGAAATATTCAAATGATTGCCACAGCCCCACACACGAAAGCTGCCCCAAAAGCCATGGGGAAATTGATGGCAGAGTATGCTACGAGAAAAAGGGTTTCTTCTGTTACTTTCTTACCGAGAAAACTTGCAATAACAAACATGATTTGTCAGCTTAACACCCGCCCTCCATACATTGGGGCTGCCATTTGATGGCTTCTGACAGCCCAGCCACCACGGTGGCCATTTTCCGGCTCTACTTCGACGAGGGTTCAGCCAGCTTGGATAAGGTACATCAATAAGCGATGCATATTTCAGAGGTTTTCATAATGTTCAAAGTGCAGCTCAGTTCTGTAAATCATTGAACATTTACGCTATGTTAAATTAGTTTTGGGTCCATGGGCTTTTTGGGTTTTTTTGGGGCGTGTTTTTTTAGATATTTGATCATTTACATAGAAAATATCTTATCTGCGACAAGTTTTCATAGTCAAAACCAATTTTTAATCAGTAATAATCTTAGATATTCAACGTTTACGCCAAAAAGCCCTGTTTTAGAGGAACTTGAGTACGAAATTTGAGGAGCAAATGTTTTGCAAAAATATTTTAAAATGCGGAGACTATTAATTGGCCTGAAGAATATTTTTAGAAACAATAGCACCATTTTCCAGCACCAAGGTTAGCTGCTATTGATTTATTGATGTACTTCTAATTTATTGCGAGAGAGCAGAGGACTCAAGCGAAATTCCGTCACATATGTTCAAACACAAACCTTTCTGAATTCTCTTTGGCTTTCTTTCTTTATATAAAATTAAATTTAAATAAAATAGCTTTTGATTGATTCATTAATTAATCTGCCACGTTGTCATCTTCGATTGATTTGCTCAGTCAAAAAGTCAACTTCATTCCCGCTTAAATTTAAACTCATTTTGCTCAACTTTCAAGACGTTTGCCAAACATTTCAAATGGCTTCTGGTGTAGAAATTTCGCCAGTCCAGTCCAGTCCCAGCTCCCAACTCCCAGCCTGACTTCTCGCATGACCTCAGCAAACGGGCAACAAGCCGGTTTCCACGGCCGTTGCCGTTGCCGTGGCTGTTTCGGCGACAACATTGCCGGTTGACTGCGAGATCGTTTTAATATTTTGTTGAGCTCTGCGCCGGTCTTATCGCACCCAATAAACAACAAAACACACACGAGCACACACGCCAAGGCGACTGGCAGGAATTTTAAAAGGTTCAGCGCCAGTGCATGCGACTGACCATAGACCGAAAGCCAGACACGGATTGGGACGCTGCCACGATCCATAGCAGATCCAGAGCCTGAGCCAGACGCAGATCCATCCCCGATCCAGGCCCAGACAGTGGGTCACTTACGCATCTCAGCCCACAAGTCCTACGCGACTTTATGACTAAGCGTCGGCTTTGAATGAAAATTGATGTCGCGTGCATTGTCTACAAGACGCTACGTCTGGGCTCTATGATAAGGGTTCATCCTCTATAGCTGCGCTCTTTCAATGCTGCCTGGGTCAGTGGCAATTAGGCGCTTAGCGGTCGAGTCGCTGACTCCTAGGGGCTGCGGCAACTAAATTGATTTCACAGCAGGAAGGAAGGAAAGGGCGGGCAGTGGCAGTGGCAGCGACAGCGACAGCGCTAAGTAGTTGCAGTCGCACAGGTGCCGCCGCTCAACTCCGGAAGCAAAGTTCGGAAACTGGCACTTATCTAGGAGTGAATTTATGGTTTGCTAATTGCTCGCCAGGACACACACAGAGGGAGATCTAAAGAGAGTGAAACCGAACTACTATTAAGTGCTCATGTCTGTATGTATCCCTTACTGCCATTACAGCTGCCTTCCCCATTGCACGACGTATCGGACATCCCTACCAGAATCGCACGCCACCAAAGCGGAAAAAGCCACGCACATCCTTTACGCGCATCCAGGTGGCCGAGCTGGAGAAGCGCTTCCACAAGCAAAAGTATTTGGCATCCGCGGAGCGAGCGGCACTGGCGAGAGGCCTCAAGATGACCGATGCCCAGGTGAAGACGTGGTTCCAGAATCGACGCACCAAATGGAGGTGAGTTCTACACTTTACACTTGGCCCTGCCAAGCCCTGCCAGCCCTCCTGCCAGGCAAGTTGGTTGCAAAAAAATCAATAGCCCATCCCCCCCCATCGCACATTTTCCCACTTTAGAAGTGCTGACAGCTTGACACTTACCCTATCCTATGTGTCCTTTCCCCCCCCCCCCAACGTGTATTTGCTGTTTTTACGTGCCTTTTTAAACTCAAATATGCACAAAAGGCTTTTGTTTAAAAGGATGTTGAGATGTGTCAACTGAAAGATGCTCTCACGAAGCAACTTTAGCTGCTAAAAATTACCCATACTTCGAAATATTTGAAATAATAATAATAGAACTAAACATGGAACAAAAATATTCCGAATAGTCTCTAGAATATTTTCTAAGAATTCAAATTATTATTTACCATAATCTTAGACGCTTTTAATCGATGCTTAAATGCCTCAAATCCAAATTCTTCTAAGCTGTTACGAACGATGTTTTCTACCTACTATGCCTCGACATAGAAAAGAGTAACACAAAGCGTGATGTACATAAACGGGGAGACGGGGAGTAAATGGCTCATTCAATATGCATGAGCACATTAAATGAAAAACTCGGAGCTCCACCGATGGGGGGAAGTTTACGTTGTGTATAGGAAGGAGGCTTAGCTGTGGTGGTAGTTGCATTTTGTAGCCACAAAGAGCACTTTTGTTTAACAAGCTAAATGACAGCTTTTAACATAAAGCGTCTCTGGCTGATAACTAAACAAAATGCTTATAAAAATAGTCACAAAGTCTGACTTGATATAGTTCAATTCACAAAAGAAGAAGCTAATCAAAAATGAAATTCACAAAATTGAAACAGAATTGAAACTTAAATTGATGCCAAGAATAATCTCCAAGGCATTTTGATGAGTTTCTCTGCGGCTCACAGCTACAACTTTTCTCACACATATGGGCATCAAAAATACTAATTTATTTGGAATAAATAGACCCCTTCCTTCCCCCATCAGCAGTCCCAGGCATTTCCCCGCACATGACACTAATTTAATGGGGCATTGATGCGTTAAGTTAAGTTCGCTTGCGTGTCTCTAATTGTTTTCTATTTTATTATTGGCAACAATGTATTTGAATATAAAATTAGTATGAGCAGAGGCGCGTCCATATTCATATGCAATTACCGACGATCATAATGCTGCTGGCAAATGGCGGCTAAATGGACAAAGTTTTTCAAACTTTTCCCAGGCAAACACCGGGAAGGGGGACCTGGGCGAATGGAGTCGCGTTTAAGACGCGTTAATTGCCGCTTAGCAGGCCCAGACCGGCCTGCCTCCCGCTCTATCGCAGTGCCGCTCCCTCGGCGCTGTGCTCTTTTGGCTTATCAGCCATTTTGGGCCTATTCTCGGGCCTCGTAAAAATTAATGATGTAAAACGCAATTTTGTTAACGGCAACTGCCTGGGCACAGCCCCCGCCCCCGCCCCCGCCCCAGTCGCAGCTCCAGCCACGGCTCGTTTGTGGTTAAGTGAAATGGCAATGGCACAGCCACATTATATTATACAAGCGCCATGATTACGGACTCAGCATAACTCAGGTAAATATCAGGTACGACTGTGTATAATGTGCTCACATAATTGCCTTAATGCACACTGTGCTGCATTTGCAAGTAATTTGAATAATTAGCCCTGTCCCACATGGCGTATGGGCAATGCGCGTTAAGCAATTCACATAAAGATACCCTCAGCCCGGGCCAGCACTGTGTTCCTCTTAATAAATTGCAACTTGTTTGTGCCTCATTACGGGTTATGGTCCCCGCCATATTCTCGAGTGCTATCGGATCGAATGGCTCAATTGACAAGCAGGAATACGCAGCGGCAGCATAAATAATTAATAATAAATGGCGCGAGCAAATGAATGAATTCCTGTTGCCTGTCAGTGTCTGACAATGTGTTTAGCAAGCACAAAAAACAGCAGAGACTAAAAGAAACAATCAGCAGAGACACAGATACAGACACAGACACAGACACACGAGGCAAAGCAGATGGAGAGAAGAAAAATTGTCTGTCATTTGCAGCATATTTTCCTGGTCCTGCTGCTGGTGCCCTTATGACTCCCAGTGGGGGCTGGTAACAAATGGCCAAGTCTAACTGTTGTCTGGCTTCCGGTGGAGCCATTTGGCGTCTCCTTCTGCCTTACTTTGGGTACATAATTCAATTAGTTGCCGGCCCATAAATCAACTCTCTTTCTCTCTTTCCCCGCGAGCTAAAACCCTTTTTAATTACAAGCTCGTGCATCATCGGAGGCAAGTTCTCTACGTTCTAGTAAATCTTGAAGTAGCTTCCACTCTATATTAATTGCCTTGGCATATGCACAACTTTTCCTGCCGAAAGCTGACTAATTAAAAATTTACACACATGCCCAGAGAGAGAAGGAACAACTTTTCTGACCGCAAAAGCGAAAAATCAATTTGACTGAAAGCAAAAGTTTTTGCGGCGGCATCAGCCCAAACACAAAAAATCAAGTAAAATTAATTACTCGAGCGACGGCCATTTGTAAATTAACTTGGAATCCGGTTGGTCCGCCTGTCTCGGTCCCTTCGGCACGTGTCCTGAAGGGTCTCTGGGAAAATCTTGAAGCACAGGTCCCCGGGGATTTGGCAGCAGCTCCTTGGGCAGTCAATTAATGGCCTGGCTAAATTGTTATGTCTTGAAAGATAATTACCGCAGGACCTTTTTGGGGCCAGCAGGCTGGGCTCTCGGCTCACCCGAAACTTGTCCCCCAATTTGCCGACATCGTTTGCGTGTAGTGTGTGAAATGATTTTAATTACCAGGACAGCAGCAGCTGGCTGACAGTTTAGTGGCTTTGCTGAGAGGGAAATTTATGTGCCCAGCTTTAATAAACATTTTAGCTTAATGTTCGGCCATTATTTATCTTGGGAAACTTTCCACATCAACGCGATGGCGCCAAGAGACCAACATTTAACATTTGTAAAGCGTTTGTTACATTTTCCAGCGACTGCCGTGAACGGGAGATAAATTACAAACGTGTATCGTGCCTCCGGCTGCCTCCGCCGACTCGTGCCACTTTCGTTTGCCTTTGCCTGTTTTTGGGAGTTTTTAATCAATTTTCGTTGAATTTTTTATGCGGTAGCTGTTCAAAATGTTGCCCGATAAAGCAAACCAAGTAGCGAGAGGTGAAAAAGTAAAAGCGAAACTCACATAATAACTCACTTTGGGGGCTATACGACTGACAATTGAATTGTTGTGCCAGCGCAGATTACGGACAAACAGGCGGGGGGATAAGCTAACCCAAAACCATCTTTGGGCTGCTCCATTACACATGTGTCTGCCTGTCTTTCTGCACTCGCCATGCTCCATTTAAGGCACACACATGTCTGCCCCCAGAACTTTTGCACTAAATACCTACGGACTAATGCATTTTTAATGGTCTCTCTCTCTCTCGTTCGCATGCGAGTTATGAAATTATAGTTTGAACGATGACATTGCTGATGAAAACCGTAATGAAAGCCATATTAAACAATAATTATGATATATGCGGGGCATTCACGTGCATAGTTGTGGTTATACATATTTACATACATAAATACATATTCATGTACATATACATACATACATACATCCTGCCGCTTGTCTCTTTAGCTGGCAACATAAGAACTTCATTAGCTCATGCAATATTCAAGATGGCGCAGAGCAGAGCAACCCCTAGTCGGGCAGCCTTCCTTTGTATGTGTCCATGAGGGTGGGTGGACTGGTGGTGGTAATTTCAGCTCCATGGCCACAATTAGAGCAAAATGCTGCGCAAACGCGAGCCAGCACTGAGAGACGGGGTTTAGCTCTGGACAACTGCATCTGCAATGCATTTTCCCTTTGAATAATTTATCGGTTTGGCAGGGCACGGGCAAAATCCCTTTTAAGCACAAAACATTTAAAATGCAATTTTACGCAGTCCGGCACTTGGCTCGAAATTAATTTTCCACAAAAACAGCAGCCCCGTGGCTGATTGGCAGCCGTGTCGTTTGGCAGACGGCATATTTGATTTGATTAGTTTTAAATGGTCTTAATAGGCCGCCCACATAATGACTTGATGAGCTTCTACTTCCCCGCCTGTACTCTTTCAACGTGTCATTTGAATTGGAATTCTGGCAAATTGCTTTTCCATAATGAATATGCACATTAAGCGATGACCGTTCGCAGATAAAGATAATCGGTGTAGAGGCATCATTCTTATTGATTTATGGCTAAGGATCTGTTTGTTGGGGAGATTGTGAAGGCAAAGAATAATATTTTTAACTATGCAATGAATACTTTGATGATTTATACACACAGTCTTTAAGGCATACAAGTGTTATTAATTATTGGAACCAAATTTTGACTTAATAAGAAACAAAACACAAGATTTAAAGCGCTGAAAGATACCGAACGAAAGGATCATTATTCTGCGTTTTCCTCAATTTTCAATGTAGAAGCATTTTCTTTGGTTTGTTTGCCGCCTTTTCCCTTTAAGTAATTTTTTTCCATTTAAAATTCTATAAAATAGAACTAACAAAAGCTTTTCCGCTCTCTTGCCATTTCAGACGCCAAACAGCTGAGGAACGCGAGGCCGAGCGGCAGGCTGCCAATCGCCTGATGCTCTCCCTGCAGGCGGAGGCCATTAGCAAGGGCTTTGCCCCACCATCGGCTCCAATGAGCTCACAGGGCGGCGTCAATGGTGCGCCACTGGCAGCGCTGCATGGACTGCAGCCATGGGCAGAGGCATCGCATGCGGCGGGCTGCTAATCTCGAACCGCATCGAGTGGCGGCGGCAGAAGGTTTATTTGTGATACATTTCGCTCTGTACATAGTTCGAGGGAGACGGCGGGAGTGAACGGAAAGTGACAGGCTGTTTCCCACTGTACATATTGGATCGGTTCTCCCCACATCTGTAAATAGCTAGCTTTATTCTCTAGAGACGCTTACTTATCAAATCCCAGGCGGAGGAGGTGCAGCCCGATCTACGCTTTTAGTTTTCAGTTTCGTGTTTCGTAGTTGCAGCATTTAGATACCCTTTCCCTTAGTTATTGTTCGACAGTTTCAACGAAGGCAAATCGCATCTCAAAAACAATGTCGCAGTGAGCTTCAGAGCCACGCTTAGTAATAATACAAAATAAATATATATATAAACATATACATAATGTGTGTATGTACGTGCGTAATTGTAATATCTGTCTGTAGAATTAAGGCAAATGGCATTACCTAGTATTATAAATTATAAACGCCTAAAATATGTACGATCATTGAAAATTAAACAACAAAATGAATGAAAATAAACAAACACATTACAAAATCAAAGAATACAAATACAAATATTGGTGGATTACTTTCTAATTTAGTTCGTAGAATTAAGCAATTTTTCAGTTGAAATATGCATTGGTTACACAGGAAAGATTTGAAATCTAAAAACTCTTTGCTTGAAGCAGACAACACCTCTAACAATGTTTGATTCAATTTCCGGGAACACTAAAAAATGGAAAGAGCTCTACATTTGTTTCTATAGTAATCTATGGGCTTATGATATCTGAAAAAGAAGAATTTTCTTAAACGGGGAATGAAAATAAATTCCCAAAATTCATGCAGTGTTAGGTTTTGGAACTATTTCCTAATAAGATAAAATCTTTGTGATATTGTTTAAGGCATATCTGACAGAGATTTTCTCATCAATTAAAATAGCTGATGTACCGTGGATCTATATCTATCTCGTTGAGCAAGTTTAACCTCAAGACAGAGCATAACCAAATGCTTATAATTTTCCCAGAATTACATGCCACTTGCCGTGCCTCCTCCTATGTAAACAAGGACAGTCCCTGGTACACACCCCCTAAACTAGTTAAATCGTTTAACAAGGAAAGTTTTCCTTCCATACACACACACAAAATGTTTTCGGTTGAGTTCCGTAGTTAAACGTTAGAGTTTCAACCCCAAAATAGTAGAAACCCACCTCGATAAAGATGATTTATAGAGAGTTATTGACAGCCACAGGCGAGTATTGAACGGGTAGACCAATTTCTATAGGAACCTGCAGTTTAACCGGATATATTTGGACGTGCTAATGATTCTGGCTACCAAACAGAAATCAGCCATATGCTCGCTCGACCCACATGAAAAACTAACAACAATTAGCAAACGAATATCCTCGGGGTCCCGTTCATTATAAATATATTACGTGTTTCGTTTTTTTTCTTGGCGTTGAAAGCAAAACAAACAGACGCCGCTGCGTTGGATCAGGTATACTAGAGGTATGGGGTCTGCCCTATACTTAAGGCTGGATCGGGCCAAGCCGCCTCTAAAGTGTTGGCCGCTGTCACATTAGCGCTGAGGTCGGGCTCCGGGTCTCCTACAAGTTGGCTGGTGGTCTGGTGGTCTGTGCGGAAGTAAACCATTTTCGTGGCCAGAAGAGTTGAAAGACGGCGCCCCAAAACAAAGTTGCAGACGCCAGCAGCCGATCAAATGCTGCTGTTTATATGGACTTTTCGCAAAGACACCTTTTTAATTTTGCCATTTGCCGCTGCTTTGGCCGAGTCAGGAAGGGAAGACTCGGATCTGGGCTACTTGGAAATTCACATAAATTGCGTTTAATTGGACAATTTTTGGTTTATTTCTTTGTGGCCAGCGGGGCCAACAAAAGAAGGAACAAAATGTTGTTTGTAATGAGGCTGTTCCCCCTCTCCCTGCCTCAGTCTTGGCCTCTTCGTTTGTGTGGCATTGCATGTGGGGTTGTCTCTAATTGGCTGGCACTGCCTCTGTCCGAGGACCAACCTCTCAGACGACCAACGACCGTTGGAGGCCAGAAGGTTTGATTGATTATTGAGCAAACTTGCGGACAGGCTCTGGGCCGAAGACCGACCAGCAATCTATTTGTGTCCACTTAGTGTAATACAACATGAAACGACTTTCGGCAAAACGGAAATGGGGTCGCCATGGCCATGGCACACGTTCAGACTTTGAGGCAAAGTTTTCGCCCCAAAAAGAAAAACCTCAAACAAAGTGACCAAAGAGGATGGACACAGCAGGACGGGCGACGGAGCAGTCGTGTGTCAGTCAAAAAAGGTGGATATGAAAAATACAAATGAACAGCCATGCGGTTGGTCAACAAGACAGGCGCCAGAGATACGAGCTACAGAGAGGCAGGATTCTGAGCCTCTTGCTCTGTCTGTCCATGGCTCTGGCTGGCTGCACATGTACATGTCAATTTGGATTATGCCAAAGGATTGAAAAGGATTTAAGCCAGGGCCACAGAAGGCAGAGCTCTGCTCTGATCTAAGCACAATTTTTCAAATTAGTTTTTCATCTTTTGCAGCAGCAATTTTCGAGTTGGACAGTTGCCTGTCTGTCAGTCAATCAGTCAGTCAGTCAGTCAGTCAGTCAGCTGACTGCAGATAATTAGCGGCCATCGCGGGGACATTTAAATTAAATATGAGTCCGGCTATCTCGCTGCCTATTAAAAGCGCTGTCCCGGGGCGTACGGCATATACAAAATTCCCTAATTATGGTACGGACTGTCAACCTGCCCATGTCCAGTCATAAAAGCCTCATAAAGAAAGTAATTCTAACTAACGTACGAGCTACGGTCTGGCTGTATGTCTACCCCTTGTCTAAGCGGGGCTTATGCGAAGTATGCATAAAAAAAGCCATAGAAAGGCAGCACAGCCCCAGCCCCAGCCCCAGGCCCAGCCATTGTTCCAGCCAACTGTCATTAGCCGTCTCCCTCTGCCACTCAGCGCACTCTCTCGCTCCCTCGTTCACATGTACATATCGTAGGTATATGGCTATTAAAAATGCTGTATACCAGCGCACCGCTAAATTAGTTTAAAAATGGAGTAAATGGAGTGCGCTAATCACACTGCCTCCACCACCGCCTTGGCTCTTTCCCTCCTATCAGTAGAGGGCGGTCGTTGTACCATACCGGTAAGGTATACCGTTTGCTCTACGGTATCGTATCGTTCCGGGAGCACAGCAAACACACAGCTCTAATGGCAGCTCATTTGCGCTGAAAAGTAATCATTAAACTTGTCATTAGCCCGTCCGGTTCGCTCTGCACTTTGTTTGCTTTTTGAACTCTGAGCTGCTCTTTGTCAAGTTCTTATCGTTGTGGGCATGATAAATCGATTAGTTACTAAATATGGCTGGTTTTTGGTTTTACATATGAAAATATGAAAAAGGAAGGCAGAAATTTGGCCATTATTTGTACATTTCTTGATGTAAATTAATTTTGTATGTTCTAAATATAAAATGCGACAATATGAAGATTCCCCTTGTAGGGTTTCAACAGACTTTTATTAAACTAATTGAAAAGAAATCGAATGGTAAAATGTCAGGCACTAATCAACAAAGTTTGTCCATCAATATCTTAAAAACGATTTGCCAAGTTCTCTGTTGACTGTCAGCTAAAATCTTATGCAAACCCTTATCAAAGAAGGACCCTTATTCGCGGACTATGACTTGGAGAAATGAGAAATATGTTGACAAGAAGGGATGTAATTTCCAAAGCCAGTTCTTAATTGTTACAAAATCAGAGAAGAAATTAAATAAGGAACAGAAATAGTTAACTAAGAACCAAGCATTTCCTGCATGAAATTATGTAAAAATGTGTAAATAAATGTAAAAATCAACTGCATACTTCATGCAACTGTAAAAAGTGTTTTTAAAGCTAGACCCAACCGTAGGAGACACCTGACGAAACGTGACGACAATAAGAGATCATCCGCACTTTGTGAGGGGACCGTGAACAGTCAGTGCACGACGAGGAGTGGCAAGTCATGTAACTGAGTTTCCCAGGCAATACGACATGAAAATTTAATCGAGTTTCTTTTCAATTGAGTGCAAAATCACATCAGCAGCAAATAAAAATTGTGTAAAGTGCCAGTTCGAAGCTCTACGCCATTCGGTGGTCAGTATTGGCAGCGGCATCGGGATTGGGGTTGCTTTTTTGGTTTTTTTTTTTACCACACTCCACAGTGTGGGCCCTCAGCCCACAAAATGTCAACGGCTGGACCTGCCACGTACACGGGGCTCTGATGGAATTATTTTCGTATTTATTGCCAAACACACAAATTTATAACCGACCAATGAAACGCCATAAAAAAACCCCCAACAGCCAACGGGCCAACTGACTTTGACGAGCTGCCGTAGCTGCCAGGAGGAGTCGATGCGCAGCCCGAGCAACATTTCAATTTTATGGCCATGCTCTCTGGCTACGTTCAAAAAGGGCTCATAAAATATTGAAAAGTCTGGAAAATTTATGTTGAATTCCATTAGAGTTATGGCGTGAAAATTGCGCCGCTTGTTTTTTTTTTTTTTTTTATTGCACGCCAGAAATCAATGGCAAACATTAATTACTCGACCTCGGAAGGGAATGAAATGAAAACAAGGACAAAGGAGGAGGAACAAAGGCGGGATGGGATCCAGAAGCCAATCAGGCTGGGCTGTTGGGTCTCCAATGTCCTTTTAAGCAGTTGTCTTCCGCTCAAACTTTCCACTTGCATAACTTGACTCTCATTTCATTTCATTTCATTTCATTTGTTCTCTGACCCGCTTGGATTAGGTTTTTGTGCACATTCCCTGATGTCCTTTTCATGGACGTGCGATTTGCATTTTTTATTTGCCACACAACAGCAGAAATTGACCTTTTTCTTTGGAGTTTGCCTGCCCCTGATTCGGACCTTCTGTAAGTGGTCTTCGGGGTAAATTTTGGATTTCTGCGTCATTTTTCTTCTGCCTGTTTTGGGAGGCAAGTCAAAATGCGTTGCTGGCACATTAATAATGCAGCTGAAGCTCTTTTGTCTCTGGCAATCACATCAACAAGCTGGCAAACTGGCAAACTGGCCTCCAGAATCTTCACGCAATTGAAAGGCAAATCCAGCAGAAAATTGAAATCAAAAGAACTTCTTTGGCTGCTCTCCGATGGTCTGAGTGCTGGCCAAATTTCTCCCAAATGCATATTAAAATATCTAACCTCAGGAATGTCCGGCGCCCACTGATTTTCGCTGGCCAAATAAATGTCTGGCTGTAAAAGTAAACGACAAACGAATGGGGCGGCCATAAAAAAGAGCACAAACAACGATCAAACAATACGGAGTACGAGTACGAGGATATGTATCTACATATAAAAAGGACATCAACTACGGGTAGGCAAACGTAAATTTGAACAGGGAAACATAATGCGGGGTGCCGTGTGCCGTGTGGCAGGTTGTTCATTGTTGACTAATGTTAAACGCGCACAGCTTGTCCTTGTTGATGTTGTTTATGCGTCTGGCCCCTCCTGCCTCCCCCCT